AAAAAATGCTTTCATAACAACACCACTAATGGACATGGGTATCATTGAGACCCCTATTGATGTGAGTAGTTTGGCCTTTTTTTTTCTTTTTTTTTTCTGCACTTTTGCCAGCTCATTAGTGGTGCTTTTAGAGCTGCTGATTTGTGCTCTTAAAATCGAACGTGATAGTATATATTACTATGTATGCCCATGCCTCAAAGGGCACGTGTAAATATATTGAATTAAATGTAGTTGTTAATTTGTTCGAATCATGCTTAAATATGTATAGAGTCTGTACCTTGCTAAAAGTTCAAGTTCAGCACTCTTACCATTAGTTTATGACTAACACCTGATACATGTGAGTGTCATAGTACCCGAACCAACAAATTCCTGATTGAAATAACATAATACACAAAATACATAACATACCATACTCGGAATAGTAGTCTTAGAAATTTGTTCTACAATAATACGGAGATCAAATATTTTGAAATATTTTTCACAATCAGACACGGGAAAGCATTGAAAAACTAAATCCATATATCAGACAGAAATCAACTCTATCCAAGCATCCCACATTAGCAATACATTTTCATTAAACCGCTATTGAAAAACCGTAAATGGTAAAAAAGAAAATTCCTCTACACTCAGATCTAGTTTGCAATTAATGTGAAATCGTCAATTACATCAACTATAGAAATAGAATTGTTCTTCCACAAATATGTCAAATTAAAAAAGATTTTAAAGTCTCTAATAGCCATCAAGTATGCAGTATCAATACTTGAAAGAAACTGTATAGTAAGAGAGTAAATCTAAGTCGAAAAATTATAAATAGGTGATAACTTCAACCAATATATTATAAAACTCAACTGACTTGTAATCTTTCTCAATGAATAGAGAAAGCATAGAAGAAGAACCATATACAGGTTGGTGTAAATCTTCATCATCCTATGAAATAAAAGAGAAGATAATTTATATGAAGACAATGAGGGGAAAAAATGTATATAACCAGGGGGGAAAATAAAAGAAAAAGGGACAGCTGACATGTTCAAAGTAGTAACAACTACATGCTCCTAAGTAATAAATCAACTTACATGTCCAAAGTAATAATCATTAAAAAACTGATTCAATAATAAAAGATCAAGTCAGGCACTCTACCATTTTTGTGGCTGACACCTATACATTGGTAAGTGTCAACAATACCTCAAACAACAAATCTCTTAATTGAAATAAATAAACAGACAACATGGATTAGCCAAATGAAAGTATATCTGAAATAGTAGTCTATAGAAATTGTTTACAATATTAAGATACGAAAATCAAAATCTCAAAGCAATTTAATTTTCCAATCAATCTGAAGAAAGTAGTGACACTTAACAAAAAATGACAATCTATAAAACAAAACCACGAATCGTCACTACAAATAGTGAATTTGCAATCAATGTAATTGAAAAAAACTAAATGCATTGTATCATAAGAGAAATCAACTCTATGTCATAGCATCCAACAACGTCAATAAAACCGATGTATGAAAACTGCTTAACGGTGAAATTTAATTTTGTAAAAAAATATTCTTGCACTATCTAGTGGTGTCCAAATAATGTGAATAATCATCAATTACATCAAACTATGAAACTTTATGTATAAGTTAAGTATAGAGAAATAGAGAGAATAAATGATGTATTGATAGATTTGATATATGTTATGGTGTGTTTGAGCTCTCTCCGTTTATAGAGGAGAGGGAGAACAATTACAAACCGTAAACGTAAACAAACCAACACAATCGATTATAAAGTACATTATTAAGCATACTATTATTATACTAACCTCTAATTATTAAAGCACATTTTAAGCATTTATATTCTACAGCCCCCTCAAACTTCAAGGAGATAGGAACCACACAACTTGAGTTGGCAGAGTACAAAACAGAAAAATAAAATAAATAAATGGATGAGGACCCTGTATGTCGTGTCAGACCTTGTAGAAGGACTGTATGGTTATGGCAGACCGATTAGAACGACAGTTTAGGGCGTCTGTCGGACCGTTGTGCAGACAATGTTGTGACAGTTTTGTGAACAGTTTACGGAGTCTTGCTGACCCTGTTAGAACTAACCGAACATGTCGGACAGTTTACAGAGTCTTGTCGACGCCATGAAGGAGCAACCGGAATTAATGTTCCCTGGGACAGTTAACGAGTTCTTGTCGACCCATGAAGAAGCTAACTCGGATCAATTCGGACAGTTCTTACAGAGTTTGTCGGACCTTAAAAGTCGCCCTCGAAAGGCGTGCCCATCTATCAAACAGGCGTGCACAAAGGCGTGTCCAATCCATAAAAGGCGTGCCCAATCCATAAAAGGCGTGCCATCAAAAGCGCGCCATGTGTGGTCGTCGAGCCCGAGCGGCGCATGATGCGCGTTTCTGCCTCTTCATCATGGTCTTTAGTAAACCGAAGCGGAGCTGAGAAGATTGGAAGCATAACAAACCAGTTGAAGACCTCTCGTTCTCTGAGAAGCTTTTGTCGCAGAAGGCTAAAATCTTGAAACCGTAACACTCTATAACCAACCCTTCTCTGAAACACTCAGCAACATAACATGGCCTCGTCTCCCGTTCAGCTACCAGAATATGGCCTCTTCGTCCCGTGGTCTGCTCATCTCTTTCCCGACCTTCAACGAGTCACAGAGAGATAATCCTGCGTGCGTGGCCAGTGAAACCTCAACCAAGGGCTCTGGTTTCTCCGTTGCACTTTCCGATGCGGTCGGTGGAGCAAAAATGGCGGTGCAAACTGATATTGAGGCAATCAGTATACTTTGACAGTATGTGTGGAGACCATGACGGGCGGTCACAAACCTGTCGCACCGGCTGCAGAGTAGGACAAATGAGGTGCCAGTAGTTAATACGGCCTGCTCGTCTCTGCTCCAGCACTGGTTATGGATCGCGGAGGCCAGAATAAGTGTGCTAAGCAGAAATAAGAGCATGAAGCGGAAGGCCACCGTTGATGTTCCGATTGGGAGGTCCGCCATATGCTGCAGTACTGGAGGAGTAATGGGGGTGATCGTGCCCAGTGGGTGGAACACGGAGGCAACACCTGTCAAAGGGCGCCAAGGACGGAAGCAAGAAGAAGGACCGACGGCAGGTAGAGAGAGGATAGAAAAATCGCCTGTGGGTGTGTGTGTTTTTGTTTTTTTTTTTGTG